TCAACAAAATAATATAAAATAATAATAATAATAATTATTATTATTATTATTATATATATATATTATGAAACACAATATTATATAATACATAAATCGTAATTTAAATATAAAATTGATTTAGTATTGAAACATCAAAATAAAAAGAATGCAGTTACAACAAATAATATATTATAGTCATCAACAAAATAATATAAAATAATAATAATAATTATTATTATTATTAAACACAATATTATATAATATATAAATAGTAATTTAAATATAAAATTGATTTACTATTGAAACATCAAAATAAAAAGAGTACAGTTAGAACAAATAATATATTATAGTCATCAACAAAATAATAAAAAATAATAATAATAATAATAATAATACAATATTTAATATAAAAAACACATTAATTATATAATACCTTAATCATAATTTAATAAAAAAAAAATATATAGAATTGAACTTTCAAAAACAATATTCTTACAACAAATGCAATACAATAATAGTCATCAACAAAATAATAAATAATGAATAATAATATAAAAAATGGAAGACATTATTTAAATAAATTAATCGTAATTTAAAAAAAAAAAAGAAAATAAGATAGATTTGCGATTGTGAAACGTTGAAAAAAAGAGTATCATTATGATGAATGAAATATTAATAGTCATTGATTATAAAATGTGTGATCTTTTTACACACACTTGTGTAAATATCGTACAAATAGATAATTATCATTAAAAAAAAAAAAAGAAAAAATCATCAAATGGATGATTTTACAACGTATGATCGCGTTGACAACAAATAATATGATTCGATGAAGACCACGATTAGCGAATATTGGAACATTGAAAAGATACGTAATCGGATGAGCAAAAGATATGACAGTGGGGAGGGGAGGGGAGGGGAGGGGGGGATGTGTACAGGTGAATAAGAGTGGGGATAGTATTGTGCCAAAATCAACGAATCAAATACGCATTTAATAGAGGGAGTATGTGTGTGTGTGTGTGTATGTTATTTCCTCGTTTTCATCGAAAATGTGATTCCCCGATAATTATACGCACGGTTCAATTTTTGATTGATTTATTTTTTTTTTTTTTGTCATTGGGTATATAAGCCAGCGTGTACCAACTATTGGCAGATTACAATTGAATTTCGACGATACTAGTACTGGTAAGTAAAATATTACATATTTACATATATAACATAAGTTCATTGAATATTACATTGAAATAATAAGAAATATTAATAATACGAATTTGTGTTTATAATAAAATAAAAATTATTAAATATATTATTGTGTAATATTGAAATAGTAAAAAATTTTTTTTTAGGATTTTTAATTGAATATATTTTTGGAGATAATTGTTCGATTGATTCATTGTATAATATATTTTTTTAAATTAGGAAATCATTTTGAATATAATTTCCTAATGAAATTATAAGAATTTGTTTAGGATTTTTAATTGAATATAATTTTTAATGGGATTGTTTGATTGATTATTTATATATTTTTTTAAATTAGGAAATCATTTTGAATATAATTTCGTAATGTAATTATAAGAATTTGTTAAGGATTTTTCATTAAATATATTTGTTGATAGAATTTATTGATTAATTAATTGTTAATATATATTTTTGTAAATTATGTGAAATAGAAATGATTGAATATCGGTATTGAAATATTAGTGATTATGTTATGTGATATTTAATTAAATATAATCGTTGATATAATTTATTGATTAGTTGTATACATATTTTGTTAAATAGAAATTATAGAATATCGTATTGAAATAATAAGAATAATATTCGTGAATTAGTTTGTCAGATTTGATTAAATTAAATAAATAAAATAATTGAGTGATTAAAATATAAATATATTATATGTGAAATAGAAATCATTGAATATCGTTTTGAAATATTAAAGATAATATTTAATAATAATAATAATATGTATTGTGAAATATTAGTGAAATTTGTTCATAATATGAATAATAATTAAATATAATTATTAATGTTATTTATTGATTGGTTAAATATATATTTTGTTAAATAGAAATCATAGAATATGGTATCGTATTGAAATAGTACAAGTTTGTTTTGTTCTTAATATAATATTTAATTAAATATAATTATTATATAATTTATTAATTAATTTTATATATATATTTTAGAAAATAGAAATCGTATTGAAATATTAGAGAATTTGTTAGTAATATTAAATTACATTTAATTATTGATATAATTTATTAATTAATTCTATTTACTTTGTAAAATAGAAATCATTGAATATCGTATTGAAATATTAGTAAATTTGTTCATATTATTTAATTAAAAATAATCCTTACACATAATTTATTAATTAATTATATATATATCAGAGTTGCGTCCGGGTTGTGTCAGAATTGTGTCAGGGTAGCATCATATAGATATTTTACAAAATAGATCTCATTGGACATCGTAT